TGTTTATTTTATGACAAAGTTGTATCTATTTTATTTTCTAAAATATAAGTATTTCCAATATAACACTAGTTCTGAGCCATAAATTGATAAAACTCAGAGAAAACTCTCAGTTTAAATATGAAAATGGCTCTCAGTTTGTGGACTGGGAACTCTTCCTCTTAACAATGAGAATGCTTGAAGATTGACATCTTTCTGTTTTTTGTTCTTCATAAAAGAAACTGACTTCTGAGTGTGTGCTTCAGTTTTCTCTAGCTAGGAGTATTTCAAGTCCATGTTTCATCATGTTCAGGGGGATACATGTTCTTGTTGATCATCGTCTTGGTAAGCCATTGGTATTCTGATAAACTTTCATTGGAATTTAAATTTGTTTTTTCTGAAATACAATCTTCTACAGTCTGACTATGGTCTTATAAGTCGTTACTTCTATATACTATGTGTCGTAGTTTCTTTATGAAATATTTTGGAGTCTATGTCCTCAGATTTATTGCCTATGTGGTTTTCTGAAATTATTCTTCCCATGCCACCTTCTGTTGGTGTCTTCTTGGTGTTCTTGGAATTCACCAGCAAAGATCCTGAATCTCAATGTTTTTTGGGTATTTGACAACTCTATTGTTATTGAAACAGAATTATATTTATATTTATCCTAAGAGGATACTAATAGCACCCACAACACAATACTCTAATATTACCACAAATATCTGCACTACAAACATTGCTACTTTCTCTTACAGTTTCTTCATATTCAACATAGCAAAACAAAAGATGGTTACTGTTGTCCAGATTTTAGACAATGTAACTACTATATACTATTTAAGGAAGTTAAACAGTAAAAGATACTAATTCCACAGAAGGGAGAATTTCAGTATGCATGGATAAATAAATAAATTAAAACTTTTGATCTTAAAATGTAGGTCAAGAGCAGGAGATAGAGAAAATAACCTCATCTCAGACAGATAATAGAAACTTAGGCCTTGATCTCATGTAAGAACAAGGCAGGAAATGGTGAAGGAACACTGTCTCAACAAATAATAATAATTGTTTAGATTGATTTAATTGCTTTAAATTGTTTTAATTATTAAAATGTTCATGGTTATAAGCTTGGTGGTTATATTAAAACTACTCTGGGAGAGAAGTCAAAATGAGACATTCCTAAAGAGAAAGGAGGCTGCTAAATTCAATTAATCTATACCTTTTATGATTTTGGGTTACTAGACCAAAGACATACTATTATGGGAGAGAGGCTCTGTATTTGTGTTAATGGAAAAGAAGAAAAGGCTTGAGACTCCTTCCAGAGGGATATGGATCAGATATGCCATAGGAAGACTCCCTAAAAATCTTGGCTACAAAAACCAACCAAACAACCAAACAAAACAACCCCCCCCCAAAAAAAAAACCCTAAAATTTGAGAAAATAGGACAAGACTTGGTTTGCTGATCCCTCCACATGGGAAAAACTCTATAACTGGCTTAGACATAAAAATGTCTCTAGCCAAAACTCCAGCTAAAATTAGACAAAAAATCTTGTTGGTTATAGAATTCTTAAGATTTATCATGCCTTCTTTCACATGACATGAATGAGGATCTATTACAATTGAGCAAATTAATTCATAAAAGGATAGTTGTCTTTCACCTGCTCAAACAAAGAGCAAAAATCCTTAGCTGATCTGTACACCTTACGCAATCCATAAAAATATCTTAATAGTACTAAAATTTTGGTTGTAAGATTAATGTATTACACAATGTACAGCTCTGACAAGATTCATCCATGGGGACCCTAAAATGACCTGCTGTTCCAACCCCCTGCCTCCTGATACTCTTTCTAGAGACTTGCTTCCAAAACAGCTTCAAGAATTGCTACTGATTCCTGATGGACTCAGTTCATCCAGCCTTTTAGATGAAACCAGTCAGAACTTCAGTTAAACCCTGAGCCTTCTAAGCATACAGAGACTAGATAACAGATGCTAAAGCTAGCTTTCTTAACTCTAACCAATTTTTCTAATTTTCCTCCCCCTTCCCTCCTTTTTAAAAAATTCGTCACTCCAATTCAGCAGGGAGAAATTGTGCAGCGCTGTCATCCTGAGCCCATGGGTTTGGGTGTCTGGTTATGGTTATTTTTATAAATTACAGATTGTCATTTTAAGAGTTAATTTGGAAAAGTTCATAATTTTAAACAGTGAAAAATATATGAGATAGATGTCTAAATTCATTCTTAAACAAAGTGTTGTATAGCCATAATCTTACATTGATAAAAATCTTCATAATTGATGCAAAATTGAAGTCATACTTTTTTACATTGGTACAAAATTTATATATTAATACATATTTAAGGTTTTCATTGGTATAAGTTTTTTATATTGATACAAAATTTGAGTTAATGTTGCTACTCTTAGATAGACATTGTACCTATCTATACAACTCATTTAAAAATGCAAGACTCAGACCCAGTCCTTCTAATAACTACAACTACAAACTGCTTAAGATGATTAAGTAATGAAAGGGCCAGATAATAAACTCATGGTTATATTAGATTCAGATTTAATAACAAGATGCTTTTAATATTATTAAAATAGAAATAGCCAAGAGTAGTCAAAGTTTAACAGTTCCTATATACTTTATATAGATAGTCTTCAAAAGCATCAGCAATTCACAGAATAGGACATTTAAAGTCATGTCATTATTCATAGAAATTTTGACAAGAGACATGTCTGCTCCTGACAATACCTCCTTCATGGTTCAAAGAAGTTATTGAGCATCATAACCTCCATATAGAGTTGTTCCTGTTGTAACAAGATAGCATGGGCAAGAATTGTCCTAATTCATCGACAGACAAAATACTGTCCAGGAAAGGACACATGATACGGGATAGTTGATAGCTTAGCTTTGTCAAGACAGGGTAAGCTTGTCCTTCAAATTTCCTGCATGACTTATGGCCTGTCAGATGGTTCTGGCCCAGAAGGCTGAAGAAAGATGCTCCAATATTTTGAGGAATGGAGGACTGTCCAGGTAGTCAGCTGTCTCTCCAATTTGTTTAAGTTTTGGTAGCTATGTTTTTGTGCTTCCTATATGTTCAGGTTATATTTAATTAATTCTTGGCTCTCTGATGGGGTTGAAGACTAGTTATAGTCTCATAATTAAACTTAAGTTGTTTAGTACTGAGGAAGATGATGTAGATTTGAAAGGATGGATTTTCAGATGGTAATGCTAGTTAAAAATCAAAATATAATTCTGGTATAGAGCTGAAAACTCTTTAAGTTAGGATAGATATTACAGTAATGTATTTAAATTGACAAAATTGATGGATGTTATTAGAGTATATCATACCTTATAGTTTACATAACTGTAATAACTATGTTCATTGTATATCTGAAAGAAAAGGCCTTTTTAGTGGACAAAAGGGGAGAAATGTTGTGGATAGGGTTCAATGCTTGCATTATGCTATTTGGGTTTCCAAAATTGCACGAGAATCTCACATGTGAGATGCTGAGGGTCCCTGCCTCCAGCTGGTTTTGAGTGGTAAATGAAGTTCCCGGCAGTTAGGATTTGTGGGCAAAGGGACCAAGGAAGGAGGAGAATTGCCATGCCAGGGAAGGAATAAGATCTGGGCTTCAGAGCTGCAGAAGAGAGAGCATACTAACCACATGAGAGCCAGGGACGAGCAGCCTCAGGCCCTCAATTGGGTCTAGCATAGATTTTAATAAGTAATAATTCAGGAGTATTGAAGAGGAGACATTAGCAACGTGGAAGTTTGGGAGTGGCCCAGCCATTGAGTCGATTAGATATATTAAATATAAGGCTGTGTGTGTGTGTCTTTCATTTTAGAATCCAGAGCATTAGAGCAGGTAACGAGGAATTTGCATTGCTGCTGCCAGGGAGATTAGCAGATTAATCGACTACAACTACATGCTACTTTGCTCTATGATCTTAATGGGAACTTCTGCCATCATCACTGTTGTTAGAGCTGTCACAGTCAGAAACGTTGCTCTTGCTGTTACTTAGCTCACGTCTCATATTAAATGTACAGCAGAAAATGTGAAAGGATGCCTCAGACAGTCCTAGAAAAGCACAGATACAATTACTGTGTCTTATATATTTCTTCTGTCTTATTCTATGTATGTCATTTCAGGGACTCCAGTAAGCACATGTTCTTTTTTTGTTTAGATTCCTGACTCTTCTCTATTTCTACCTTTCTGTACATTTGTGCTTTGTGCTTTGTGCTATGTGTGTGTGTGTGTGTGTGTGTGTGTGTGTGTGTGTGTGTATTTCTTCTGATTTATACCAAATCTCTTTAACCACGTCTAATCTGCTGCTGCACCAATAAAGCTAAAAATTGTGTTTCTCAGTTTGGAAACACCATTCCCTTTCTGTGTTTTTATAGGTTTTTTTTTAATTTAGAAGCTATGAAAATTATGATCTTTGCCCTGATCACGAGTTCAATAATTTCTCAATTACACACACACACACACACACGCACACACACACACACAAACTATGTATGAACAAGACGTGGAATTCTTGTCCTTGAATCTGGTTTATTTTACTTAGCATAATGACACAGGCTACACAAATGCAAAAGTGACCTACATATTAAAAAAGAACAATTATATTATAACTCATATATTCAATAGAATGCTTTCTGTCTGAAGATATTTATATTAACATGATGTTGATAGGTTTTCAAAGCCACCAGTCTGAGGGCCCCATTTGTCATGGAATAGGAACTAAGTCATGTTACTGTGTGCTGTACTGGGCTGTGGTAAGAATGCCGTTATGTGAAAAGCAGTTCTCTCTCCACCTGAAGTATTTTAAGGTTGCTGATATGTTATTTATATATTTCTGTACTATCTAAACTAACAAAAGTGTTTTATGTGTTTGTTTTAAAAGCTAAAAAAAGGATGCACTTTGTGAATAATAGTTTTTCCTCTGGGGAAGAAAGTACAAAACACACAAACAATAATATAAACAAACTATTTTCTATAATACTACCTATTAAGACAATCTTACTGTACTTGTTGCCTCCTCGTCAAAGGTATATAAGCGACTTAATGTGCCCACTTCGTGTTCATGAACTGGTACAGGAGTAACTTTCTGTTTGCTTGTCCAACCTGAAAACCAATAATTCATGCATTTTAGGTAAAAAAACACAATGATACCTTTTAAAAATATTTAGTTGATGTACATTAAATTGTAATAAGGCTTCTGGGAATTGTAGGTTTAGTTTGATGCTCCCCAGATTGTGTTAAATACATGTTAAAATTACAATTTAAAGATTGGGTCATAATTGGCCACAATCCTGCACTCAATTTAGTGTTCTGAACTAGTTGGTCATTTTCCTAATTCCCACATTATCTGTGTACAGTAAATGAAACAAGAGGTGTGTTTGCTGACCAAACATACACACTTTAAATTCTGTTAGAGCAAAGACCTAGAATCTAAGCCTGTTACATGGAATTGGTGGGTATCTGCATCTATACTAAATCAATGTCCACTTTGAGAGGCAGATACTGTAACCATATCAGAAGGCACAAAGCACAGGTTATGCATACACCTGAAGTGAAAGCCAAGCAGAATACTGATGGCATCCCAGCCAGCACTTCTCCAGCCTCACTGCACTTTATTAAGCCAGACGTAAATAATGGTGACTAATTTACTGCACACATAGGAAATGCGGGCCTCTAGGGAAAATGCTCAGCTTAAAAAATCTTGGAAACAAAATTTCATGTTCCTTATAAAGCTTATCTGATATAGTGGAGCCATTTCTAACTGTTCTCTAGGGAATCGACCATCAAAGTGTACTGGAGGCAACCATCTTAACACATGGTAACATGAGCCCATGCCCCATTGTGTCATCAGTCTCTGAAGAATCCATTATTTTGAAGATCATATATGGATTGTTAAATCCTTTTTTTTAAAAAAAAAGACAACTTTTTTTTTTTTTTAAAAGTTGGCCTGAGAAAGCAAAATAAAGTAGAAGAGTAGAAGAAATTTTATGGTCTCATCTCTAGGAAGTGGGGTCTATAAGCAGCTGAGAGAGTATTGAGGTGCTTTCCTTCAGAGTTGTAGCAGAGTGACTTCGTAAGAAACATGACCAGTCTGACATATTCAGAGGTAGATGCTCACAACTAGCCATTGAACTGATCATGGGGTTCTCAATGGAGGAGTTAGAGTGAGGAGTGAAGGAGCTGAAAGGGTTTGTGGCACCATGCGGAGAGCAACAATACCAACCAACCACAGCTCCCAGGGTCTAAACCACCAGCCTGGGAGCACTTAGGGAGGGATCCAGGGGTTCAGCTGAATATGTAAGAGTGGAGGGCCCTGCTGGGCATAGGTGGAAGATGAGATCCCCTGGTGAGGGATGGGGTAAGGGGACAACATATGAAATGTAAATAAAATATCCAATAAAAAAAAAAAAGAAACATGACCAGCTCAGTGCCAGCATGGTGGTAAGGGTTAGATGTTTTGCTTTCTTTTTCCCAGTTACAGTCTCAGGAGGACCCACCCAGGGATCAAAAATTTGCTAACATAATATGTTCTGCTTTTGATGGTGGAGGTGGTCTGAAGAGTTAAGAAAGATCTACACCAAACTCCCCTAAAAGCAGTTCAGGTAACCTCTGAAGTGGGGACTACTGGACCATCCAACTCATCCCTGTTTTTGACACTAGGCATCCCCCCCAAACCCAAAATACTGAACTAAAACAGCTGGACCGAAGGCATTTTGCATCAGCTAACCTCTCTGTATCACCAGCTTCCAGAAAGCCTGAAATTTCAGATCAGGTTAACATTGTTCAGAATGTACTTGATTCTTTGGCTGCTTTGATTCTCTAAAATTAAAGACTAGATCTCCTGAGAACTTCTAAGGATGGGGGTTGTGACCTAATCCAGGAACAGTGCTCCTTCTGCACCAACAAATCCAAACCAGTTTGAGATGTAGTCCAAAGATGCTGGGACCCATCAAAAATATTCAATGACAAGCTTCTACCTTGGATGGACCTTTGGTTCCCTCCTATGCTGGCCCCTCCCCTTAATCACTCTTTTATTTATTATCTTCATACTTATATTTAAACCCATTTTTTTGATGTTTAGCTTACTGAACCTACCTCCCTTAAGATAATAGGACGTCTCCCTTGTATGTGACCAGGGACATTCCACAGAAGCTCTCCCAGTGGCTCTCAACCTTCAACAGTTTCATTTACTCCTGATACAACTGCAAGACCTCCGTGCAGGAGTTTTGCTTGCAAAGTGCCTTCATCCCTTTCATCCCAGACCAGATACATGTCTTTATGGTAGTTCTCAATATTTTTTACTGGTCTCTTCTTTTTATGCTGTGTAGCCTCCTGCTGCTTCTGCTAGCTTGGAGCAGCACTCCTGTCAGCAGAACTAGCCATTGCCACCCTGAGTGGCCCACTGGGCTTGGGAGGAAACTTTTCTCCTAGCATCTTCTTCTACTTCCCTTGTATGACAACCCCTGCTTGATACACTGCTACATATTCTTCACCACTGTTAGTGTGCTGACCTGATTTTGCAAGATAAAGTATTTATTTCACTAGCCACAATTCCTTAGTTTTTTCCTTTCTTCCCTGATTTTTTCATTCATTCATTTGTTAACTTTACGTCTGATAGTAGTCTCCCCTTGCCAGTCACACCCTCACAACCCCTCTCCTCATTACCACCTCCCCTTCTCAGAGAAGGGGAAGCCCCACCATGAGTACCAACCCATTTTGGCACATCGAGTCCCAGAAAAACTAAGCACTTCCTCTCCACCTGAGACCTGACTAAGCAGTCCAGCTAGGGGAAGGAGATACAAGGGCCGGCAACAGAGTCAGAGATAGTCTCTGCTCCAATTATTAAGGGACCCACATGAAGACCAAGCTGCACATCTGCTACAAATGTGTAGGGGGCCTACGTTCAGCCCCTGCATGCTCTTTCGTTGGTGGTTCAGTATCTGTGAACCCCTATGGGCCCAGGTTAGTTGACTCTGTAGGTCTTCTTGTGGTGTCCTTGAACCCTCTGGCTACCTGATCCTTCCTCAAATCTTCCACAAGACTCAATGAGTTTTGCCTAATGTTTGGCTGCAGGTCTTTGATCTGTTTCCATCACCTGCTAGATGAAGCCTTTCAAAAGACAGTTATACTAGGCTCCTGTCTCCAAGCATAGCAGAATAGCATTAATAGTGTCAGGGCTTAGTTGTCTCCTATGGGATGAGTCTCAAGCTCAGCCAGTTATTGGTTGACTTTTTCCTCAACCCCTCCTCCATCTTTGTCCTTATACATCTTGTAGGCAAGACATATTTTGTGTCAAAGGTTTTGTGGATGGGTTGGTGTCCCCTTCCCTCCACTGGAAATCCCACATGGCTACAGGAGCTGGCCACTTCAGTCTCCATATCCTCAGTTGCAAGGAGTCTCAACTGGGCTCACTACCAGATTCCCTGGATCCTCCAATGTCTCAGGTCTATGGCTCGTAACACAGATGCCCGTCCCCCAAGCCAACTTCTATTTTCTCTCCCATCCCTCTCCAACCTCCTCTGTTCTGCTCTCCTCACATCTGCTCCCCATCCCAGTTCTGTTCCCCACCCCTTCTCCCACCCTGTTCTCTTTATCCATCCACCTCTGACGTCTATTTCATTTTCCCTTTTGAGTGAGATTCAAGCGTCTTTCCTTGGGCCCTCCTTGTTACTTACTTTCTTTGGGCCTGTGGATTGTAGCATGTTTATCCTGTGCTTTAGGGCTAATATCCACTTTTAAATGAGTTCATACCATGCATGTCTTTCTGCTTTTGGGTTACCTCACTCAGGATATTTTCTAGTTCCATCCATTTGCCTGTAGATTTCATGATATATTTGTTTTTAACAGCTGAGTAGTATTCTATTATGTAAATGTACCACATTTTCTTTATTCATTCTCCAGTTGAGGGACATCTAGGTTGTTCCCAGTTTCTAGCTTTTATGAATAAAACTACTATGAACACAGTTAAGCAAGTGTCCTTGTAGTGTTGTGAAACATCTTTTGGGTATATACCCAGGAATGGTAAAGCTGGGTGTTGAGGTAGAACTTTTCCCGATTTTCTGAGAAACCACCAAATTGATTTCCAAAGTGGTTATGCAAGTTTACACTTCCACCAGCAGTGAAGGAGTGTTCCCCTTGCTCCACAACCTTGCCAAGATTTGTTGTCACTTGAGTTTTTGACCTTAGCTATTCTGGCAGGTGTAAGACAGAATCTCAGAGTTGTTTTGATTTGCATTTCCCTGATGACTGACAATGAACATTTATTTAATGTTTAATCTGTGATATTAGCGATTTCTCTGTTGGGAATCCTCTGTTTAGCTGTATAGCTGTTTTTTTTTTCAATTTGGGTTATTGGGTTGGTTGATGTATAAGAGTTCTTTATATATTTTGGATATTAGCCCTCTGTCAGATGTAGGGTTGATGAAGATCTTTTTTCAATCTTTAGGCTGCCGTTTTGTCAAATTGATGGTAGCTTTTGCCTTGAAGAAGGTTTTTAGGCTCATGAGGTCCCTTTACTTAATTTTTGATTGTAGTGCCTGAGTTGTTGGTGTTCTGTTCAGGAGGTTGTCTCCTATGTCAATGTGTTCAAGGAAGTTCCTACTTTCTCTTTTATTAGATTTAGTGTATTTAGTTCATTTTTTATTGGATAGTTTATGTATTTACATTTCAGATGTCATCCCCTCCCCCCATTTCCCCTCCCTAGAACCCCTTATCCCGTCCCCCTCCTCCTTTTTGCTTTTATACCATTTTAATTACATGCAAGTATTAAGATAAGTTCTAGGTTGAGGGTCTAGCAACACAATAGATGCAAATAGTCAAGGAACAAGCAAAACAATAAACACAAATAGTCAAAGAACAAGCAAGGCATTAAACACAATTCCATGAACACTCCCGTGATCACTGTTTCTAAGGGCCTATCAGAATGACCAAAATGTCTAAGCCTACTTCCCTGTCCTAGCCCAAAGTCATTTTCATGTTTGAAGTCTACTTCCTTGTTCTAGCCTAAAATTTAGATTCTTGTCTGAAATTACTTCTTTGTTCTAGCCTAATAATTTAGATTCCTGCCTGAGATAACTTCTTTGTTGTAGCCCAAGATTTAGATT